GGCCATTCTCAAGGATTCACTTCGATTTGGGATGGTGGACTTAACCAGTGCTTTATCATGAAAAGTAACTGATTAGTGGCTGGAAATGTAGCTCATTTGGTAGAGTCTTTGCTTACCATGCACAGAGCCCTAGGTTTGATCCCCAGCACTCTTAAAGCTATGCATGGTAGGTACCCATTGTAATCCTGTAATTCTAGCACTTTGGAGGTAGAGGCAGGAGGATCAGGAGTTCAAGGTCATCCTCAGATAATAGGGAGTTGGAAACCAGCCTGGACTACCTGAGACCCTGTCTCAAAACAAACAAACAAGCAAACAAACAAACAAACAAACAAACAGGAGATGGAGAGATGGCTCAGCAGTTAAGAGCACGTACTGATCTTCCAGAGGACCAGAATTTGATCCCCAGAACCCATGATGGGTGTAACTCCAGCTACAGGGAATCCAGTGCCCTCTTCTGGCCTCTGTGGGCACTGCACTCATGTGCACAAACCCATACACAGACATACACATATATACATAATTTTAATATTAAAATAAATAACAAATTAAGTAAAAGTGGTTCATCTGTGGATTAATAATGATGCTATGTTGGTTCATTCTGAACTGTCACCTGAGCACCAAATGAGAAACAGCAGCTTGTAAACGAAATGCTAACCAGATAAAACAGTGTGCGTTCTATCCTCTCGAAGCACCCATCACCCCACCCTCAGGAGGTAGCATGGTTAAGTTTAGCATCCTTCGATACCTACTTCGTGTGCACACAACCATATATGACTTAAATGCACATTTGTTGTTTCTCCTAATGGAATCAGGACACACACTTTCTGCCCTTGGAGCTTTTTTGTTTTCACATGCTCTCTCGGGCATCTTTTGTGCAGTAAGCAGAATTAGGCCGTTCCTTTTGAAGGTTGCATAGTAATCTTTGATTTGGATGGGCCATGATTAGTTCACTGTTGAACACAGAGTGCTCTGTGCTATTTTCCTTGTGTCAAATGTCATGCCCCAGCTAACACCCTCTACATCCTTGCTCATAATTTTGTGGATTATAAACTGGTATATTTATGGTACTAGGAATTAAACCCAGGAACTCATGCATGCAGCTTGCACCTGACCTCTGAGCTGCACCCTTGACATGAACTGACTTTCAGTTGGGCAGACAGAAAAGAAAGCAATATTTGTTTAAAAAAGAAAAACCACTTGGAATATTAATATAGTGAAATTTCCTTAAACTTTCAAACATAAAATCCCCATTTTTCTTGAAGCATTCATTTGGGACCGTGCTGCCAGTTTCTGTATTCAAGCCTCAAATAAACACATTCTGTGTATATGAGACGAGACTGAAAGAGGCTTGTTCCCAGGAAGGACACTGGGCCTCTTGGTCTGAAAACACAACAAAGAGAAACAAAGACAGGACCTCTGTCCCTCAGTGTCTGCAGAGTGCTTCTTTCCCTGCCCTGCCCTGCCCTGCCCCCCATCTAAATGGGCACACAGAGTCAGCTGTCCACCAAATGGAGCCTTCCAAACTCAGCATTCTCTTGGGGATCTGTACCTCCCCTCACAGAGAGGTGGCCTTTCTGATCAGGAAGACCCCTGTTGGGCAAGGAAAATTCCAGAAACTGTACTTCCTACAAAGTCCT